GGGTATGAATACTTTTGCAAACCACTGTATCTGCTGTTTTACGTGATTGTTGAATGAAATTATCATAGTTATTAATTTATTGTAAAAATATTACAGATATTTTGTGAAACAGATCCAGTTCAGCTTGTTGTTTATCTGTTAGTTTCTATGGAGGCTGAGGGTCGTTGCCCTGTTTGGTCTCTGTTTCTGCTCCTCCATGCCGTCACAGATACTAACAGTATACGAGATGGGCGGGGCTCAGTCTAGGGTTCTTATTCAAGTCTATGTACGGGACCCAATCCCTTTTTGTGGTGGAGCAGCATTTATTTGGGTGAGGGCTACATGTACACTGTGTTTAAAGGATCTTTCTATCTCGGTGTGYGTCTGCAGGGGAACACATCGCTGCCTTCTGCCTGACTGAACCAGCCAGTGGTTCTGACGCYGCTTCAATCAGAACCACGGCGGTCCCCTCGCCCTGCGGGAAGTACTACACCATGAACGGCAGCAAGATCTGGATCAGGTCAGCTCAGAACTTTCACCACTAGAGGGCAGCAACGCAGCATCTAAACGTTCATACAGTTTGTGTTTGTTTTTATTGACTCGTTTTTGTATTTTACTCGATGTTTTCTCTGAACAGCAATGGAGGCTTGGCTGAAATCTTCACAGTTTTTGCCAAAACTCCTGTGAAGGATCCAAGAACCGGGGAGACCACAGAGAAGATAACTGCTTTCATCGTGGAGAGGAGCTTTGGAGGAGTGACAAAGTCGGCACACTTTTATTTTGAAATAAATCTTTACATCTTCATTTTCTCTTCGTTACATTGAATCTTTTATTTATGTATTTTCCTATCAGCGGCCCCCCAGAGAAGAAAATGGGCATCAAGGCGTCCAACACGGCCGAGGTTTACTTCGACAACGTGCGCGTGCCGGCCGACTGYGTTCTGGGTGAGGTGGGCGGCGGCTTCAAGGTAGCCATGAACATCCTGAACAACGGGCGCTTCGGCATGGCGGCCGCCCTCTCCGGCACCATGAAGAGCGTCATGGCCAAAGCTGTGAGTGCGACGAGCGTTTTGACAGGTGGGAGGAAGTGGGCGGAGCTAACTCCCAGCTGACTTCCTTTAAGTGCCGTCAGGTTTCCCCGTGTGCCACCTCGAACCGCTCGGTGCGTTTCAGTCTCGCGCTTCCTTTGCTGCGAGTCGGTGGAAAATTCCCCACGTTTGATCTCGGCTGTGGTCTGATTTCTGCTGAAGAAGCTGAAAATTCAAATCGTCTCTGTGGTTTGACTGTTAACAAGATGAAGGTTTGCACTGTCGTCAGACTCAGGTTGTGCTTTGTAACAAAAAAAACTGATTTACAAAAACTCCTTCAAACTAWTTTATATTGTTAGTTTTGAACGTCTGAATGATGCAACCCAGTCTGAACAGGAAAACATGAGCCAGCACTAACATATAGTGTGYAACTATTAAAGTGCACCAGGACAATTTTAGATTCCTCTTTCAGAAGCGTAGTTTACAGAAAACAAACTATATATCATGTATGTATTTTTAGACGTACTCGAAAGCCTCACCATTACTGGACATCTAAATATTCTCCAGTTTATATGAATAAAACAAATCAGTCACACTGTACTGTAGCTCCTACACATTTTAATATTTTATTTCTTAAATAAAAACACCATTTTACAGATTTTATTTAATTATTTTTCTACAGAAACTAAAAAGATTCCCTGTCTGATCATGATTGTTTGAATAGAACCACATCCTGTAATGTAACAGCCTCCCTGCCGTCAAGCGTTAAGGATTATCGCCTGACGCTGAAAGAAGAAAATGCAGGTGGTGGAGTTTTTGCTTTTCTTTTTATTTTATTTTTATATATGAGCAAAAAATCTTACGCAACACGGCGCAGATTGTAGTGACACTCTCAGGAAGCGGTCAGATCTAAATCTGCTTAACACTTGGAGTCAGACAGGTTTAAGATCGTCACCTCAGCCAATCAAATTTATTTACTTATTTGATCAAAACAGTACACATTTATCAACATTACCACTATTCACAGCAGYGTAAATATGCAGGAATTAAGTACAAAAAAACCCCAGAACACCTCACGTTCAATTCGCAGGACAAAACACTGTACAAAAAAAAGATGCTAACTTCATCAGTTATAAATATATATTGAGCTAAACTTGGCTGTGGTAGTGGCCGAGAGTTGTTCTAAACATGAACTCAAAAGTGATCATTTTTAATGTTAATATGAAGGTTTGACTAAAAYGGTTACATTCTTTCATTACTCAATATTTGTAGTTTAAAACTTTGGCGTGAGAAAAGAAGGGCAATTCCTTCAAGTTATTCTGTCTTTTATTTAGAYTTGTTTACTTATTGATCAAATATTTCTGTATGGAACAGTGAGGACTGACGGGAATGAGCTGTTTGAGCAAAATACATGAGTATGTTCAAATCAGGAACTTTATTTATTTATTTTTTGAGTTGCCTATTTTTACATCTTATGGGTTTTTCATCGATCCACCATTTCTTAATCTCCCTAAAGACAAACCAGTCGACTCTTTAAAGTTTCCTCTTTTTTTGCATAGAAGCTGAACAGAAAAAACCCACAGAGCTGTTAACTTCAGCCTTGTTTGAGGAAGTGAAACATTTTGTAACTTTTTTTTAAAACTCAGTCTGCGAGATGTTGTTTTTGTTTTGTTTTTATAATGAGATTCTGTTTTCAGCAAGAAATTAATGCTTGATTTGTTGCTGGTGTTTTCTCAGGTGGATCATGCAGCCAACAGAACCCAGTTTGGAAACAAGATCCACACGTACGGCGCCATCCAGGAGAAGATCGCCCGCATGGCCATGCTGCAGTACGTCACCGAGGTCTGACCAACAGTTTTAACGTTTTTCCTGTTCAGTTTTCCTTGTTTTGTACAAGCTAACTTCTCCTGCATTCTTTGTGCTGTTTCAGCTATTTTATATTATAAAATGTTCAGGAGGTTTGGTTCATGCTTTGACTTCTGGTTTTTGTAATTTTTTTTTCACTTTTTCTAAGTATTTTTTCAATTAATTCAAAACTTTTTTTTATTTTCATTAAAAAACAAAATAACTATATACAATCGAAAACAAAGAAAATACACAAATCCAAATAAATTGAAAGGTAGCAGAAGAATAAAACTTATGTCTGCCCCTTTTATCCCCAGAATATATTCAAAGAAAACATAATTTACAAAACAATACAAATAAAAATAAAAACTTCAACTCAAACAACAATTCATATAGCTTCACATTTTACTTTTCCAAATACCTTCAAAAAACTAGCTTTTATCTGTCTCTTAAATAATATACCGGTACATAGATCTGGCATTTTTAAGATMATCTTCCAGACCGTTACACAATCCTATACCCTGGATTAAAGTACATCTTTCTCTCAAGCAAGTACAACAATAYGGCTTCACAAACATTTCCATCCCCTTAAGATATTTACAAGAAATTACAATTACAATGAGCTTCTTTCAGAAACATCTTTCATGAAAATATGTTTCAGACCGTTTTAGTTTTCTGATAAAATATTTAAGCCAGTTTCTTTCTAGAATTCTTCTACTTTTAGCTTTTAAGTAATATTTTGCTTCTAGTACTTCTACTTTAAGTTGGCCTGCATTTTTCTACTTTTACAGCTTTAGTTAGCTGTTGGATGCCTTTAGCTTTTAGCTAGSCTTTTGTTGCCTTTAGGTAGTGTTTAGCAACTTGTATCCATTTGCTACCACTTTAACTCTCCATGTTGTGATACTCCACCTTCTGCATGGTGTCGTTCTTGCTTTTAGCTACTAAGTAGCCTTTTGAAACCTTTAGCTCCTGAGTATCCTTTAGATTTTTTAATAGTAGTACCAGCTAGCCTGCTGTTTGCTGCTTTAACTTTTAGCTAGCTTTTTAACACATTTAGATAACTTGTTGGTGCAGCTAACCTTTTGCTTCTTCTAGCTTGCAGTTTGAAGCATCTCAGATGGCCTGTCTTTAGCTACTTTAACTTATAGCTAACTCTTAGAAATTTTAGCTATTTTTTCACTTGTTTTAGCTTTTAACTAGCCTGCCTTTTGCTACTTTCAAGTTTTAGCTAGCTTTTTGAAACTTTAAGCTATTAACAAGCATTTTGTTTCTTTTAGGTTGCCCTTTGAAACTCTTAGCTAGCCTGCTTTTTTCTACTTTAACTTTTAGACATTTAACTTTTAGACTTTTAACTCTTAGACATTTTTAGCTTTGAGTCAGCTTTTCCTGCCTTTAGTTTGTATTTTACTAGAACTAGCTTTTAACTAGCACATCAGTGTTTTACAGAAATTTAACTATCAGTGGTTTTTAATGAATCTTTCATCTAATTGAATCAGTTCTGCTACACTGAGCTTTTTCTGATCAACATTGACTCTTCCTGTGATATTAACATCATATTTCCACTTCAGTTTAATTTGTAGCACACAACTCCTCTTACAATGATTTAAATTCTTTAAAAATACCTTCAGCACAAGTTTTRATGAAAGTGGAATTAATTGTTTGTAAAACCAGGAAATGTCTGTTGTTTGAAGTTCTGCTCTGATGCTGGATCGTCTCTGTTTCCTTGTGCTTCATGTTGGGATGTTTTTGTGTTTTTGCAGTCGATGGCCTACATGGTCAGTGGAAACATGGACAGTGGAGCCACTGAATTTCAAATAGAAGCAGCAATCAGCAAGATCTTCGCCTCAGTAAGAACAATTATCAAACTTGACGTATGATCGAGGTGCTGTTTGATCTTATATCTAAACCATGAAGCCTTGAAAATTATTATCTTCTGCATATTTGTACTTCAGCAAATGTAGCACCTTTTGAACTAATTGTGTTGCTTGTTCTGTTTTTATATCAAAGGAAGTGGATTTMTCTCGATTTGCTGCTTATTTTCAGCACTAAATGAAATGTTTAATGTCAAATTTACAGGAAGCAGCGTGGACTGTTACAGATGARAGCATTCAGATAATGGGCGGGATGGGTTTCATGAAGGTAAGTGATCACTTCACGTCCAAAACCAAAATCAAACTCTGAATTTTTCATTTCAAACAATAAAACCACCCTTCAGCCATTATTGATCATGTTACGGTTCCTCAGTGTTTATACAAGCAGCACTAAGCTACAGCTGAACCAATATTAGAACTCCTGGATCTGTAAGACGAGACGTCCTCCTCCCAGCTGATGAAAACTAAGTTATGTCACCGAGGAGGAAATTAACCACAGAATGGTTGGCGAGAACCAGACGGATTCCCRGCACTTGTTTGTTTCTCACGTCTTCTTTTGGAAAACATCTGGAATCTCCAGACTTTCTGGAAGWGTTTGACTGCTGTCGAAACTCAAACAGGTCTTAAAACACAAACTGAACTTTAACTCAGATGAGGTTGAAGAACTGGGAGATGACGTTAGAGAAGACAGACTGGGACTGTTGGGACATCAGAGGAGGGACAGTGGGTATATTGGAAGAAGGATGTTAGATGAGAGGACATGGAGTGTTTTGTGGTGATTTCTAAGGTTTGTTTTACTATAGTGGTGATCTCACTGTCACCGGTTAGATGCCCTAATGACCCTTAAGCAAATGACAAGTCCATGTGAAGACTTCTGGTTCTTTAAATGTCAGATTCAGGTGTGTGTGGTTCTACAAAACAATAAACAAACACAACATGAATTACAATCCAACATAAACACCAATAATCATACTAGTCTTAGAGACCTTACTACCAGCCCAAAAGACTGAAGGTATTTTTGTGTTATAAGGCACGGCCTGCCCCAGTCGACCTGGTCTAATTCCAGTCCCAAAGATCCCAGATGATTTCCAGTCATCAATTTAAATGCAAATAACTTGTTAATAGAATATTTTTAGTATCCTAGTGATTAAGTCAGTTTCTATTGTTATTATGCCCATGTTTAACAGAGTTATTAGTAAAGTTTATACACCAGTAATGTCTGTGGGGTCACAAGGTTTGGCAACGGTTATTTTGTGGGCCGGAAGCTACAAGGTTTGAAAACCACTGCCTTATTCTACTCCTGTCCTGGTTGTGTTTGCACTGAGCAGAGAGACGCCTCGATGATCAAAATATTAAAAATGTGCAAATTTTATTTCATATTTTTTGTGACATATCAATACACCAAACTCATGCAAGAGGGCTTTTAGTACTTAATATGTGGTTACATTTCTGGGTGTTTTTGTGTGTTTTCTTGTTTTTACTCGTTGTCATGTTAATTACTGACTCTGTGAAGCACTTTGGTCAACAGCACTGTGGTTGTGTAAAGTGCTATATGAATGAATGAATGAATGAATGAATGAATGAATGAATGAATGAATGAATGAATGAATGAATGAAGAGATTGTATCAGACCCTCCATCATTGTTACGCTTAGGACAAAAAGGCAAGACGGCAGAGAACTGTAAGCTAATGGTAGCTAATATTAGCTTGTTGTTTGCTTGTTAGCGTGCTACAGTTGTTTAGTTGAACTTGTGAAATAAAACGTTAGAGATATAACCCTCCCTGGCCAGTAAACCAATCAATGAGCAGCAGCAGCAGCTGGCGTCAAATCAGAACCACAGATCTCAAGGGTCCAGAAATCGGGATGGAACTGAGCCATGAGGGCTAACAAGACCTTCGTAGCCTAAGCCATGTTTGGATGTTAAAGCAAAACAATGCAAATAAACATGATAAAAATCACCATCTTAAAGTAAAACTTATATCTTTTGTKGGGTAAGATGAGCAAACAGAAAATGTCCAGAGAAACAAAACTGACAAATTATCCTTCTTAAACAGAAAATACACGACAACTCATCAGCCTTATGTGCTGCCTCCACAAATGACTTCTGCTGATTAATGCTGCGTTCATGAAAACCGTCCTACATCCCAACACAACATGCCTCACAAAAACAGCCACACCCTCTAGAGGCTAAAATCCCTACATCAGTCCTTCAGAAGATGGAGGTACAGATGGAGCGAGGACTCGATATAGTGAACCCTAGAAAGGGTACAGTCGAAAGAAGTATGTTCTTGTCCGGTTTTTGTGGTTTTAGAGAGGTTGTTTTTATTCAGGGGGACTAGAGTTTCAGTTGTTTTGTGTTTTTAATCAATCCTGAACAGCTAAGGAAATTAAATATACACACCAAGCAACAGGTTTTGGACTTGAGGATWAAACTTTTTGGCCGTGCTCGTTTATCTAATGTCAACATTTAATCAGCTTAAACACAAAGTCCTGGTGCTGTAAACTTCAGCTTAAAGTTGAAGCTTGAGCAACAACTTTTGCTTTTAGAGAAGTCAATAATACCACATTTCCTTTTGTGGTATTGTTTGACACGGTTGTAACATGTGAGACAGAAAACCAGAAAACCTCTCTCTCTCTGTGTGTGTGTGTGTGTGTGTGTGTGTGTGTGTGTCTGTGTGTGTGTCTGTGTGTGTGTGTCTGTGTGTGTGTCTTTGGGTCTTTGGTTCAACAACCAAACAAACAAAAAGTCGACAAGAAAAGACCGCCGCGACCTAGCTGCAGCTATGTGGGTGAAAAACAAAACTGTTGCTGTGCTTAAAATAACCCAGAAGTTACCATGTGCAGCRGAGTGGAAACCCAGACACCTACAGAACGTGCTCTTTTATTCCTCTTATAGAACAAACTGTTTTAATTGATCTGATTTTATTTAAAGGGTTTTTTTTTGTTTCCCTGAAACTATTTCCACTGGCTTGGCCTCACACCTAACAGAAAGTATACTTGTAATGATATAACCTGGGTATTTTTGATAGTATGTGGCTTTTCTAATTGAAATCACCTAAATTAAATAAATAATAATTTATTTATGCTCAGGTTGCACAGTTTGACTCAGAGTTTCATTTCAGACAGGCAAAAAGAACCAAAAATGCAACGCTGCACTCTCATTTCTCTGTYACCTTTTACTTTTACTGCCTGTTCTCTTTCTGCAGCTGCAGCTTTTCTTACTTCTGTCAGCTTGTTTGAGTCGTTACTTCAGACAAGACCTCATCCGCACCACACCCCTGTTTAAAACCGCATACAAACTTGAGGTGTTTTTTTTTTTTTTGAAAAGGGGGAATTTTAATTTTTTTATTCGAGGATTTTATAAACTGTTCTTTTATTTGAGCAAAACTTTTGTCATTAAATTCTCATTATAACCCTGCGGCATAGAAACCATAACAACAATAGAGCCGTTTTAAGCAGTTTTTGTTTCTTCATCTGCGATGCTTTATCCCGATACTGTCATTAAACTTAACCGTGTTCCGAAAAAGGTAGAATATAAAAAATGTTCGAGAACCACCTGTTGGTTTTTTTCTTTAAAAAAAACTCAAGCAAACAGTGTTGTGAGCATCATGATGATGCAACAAAATGAGATGTGTGAGGGGAAAATGTAGGTTAACCAGGGGTTGGACAATGAAATTGAAACACCTGGTTTTAGACCATAATAACAAATTAGCATGGTGTAGGGCAGGCATAGTCAATACTGCTCCTCGACATCCGCAGCCTTGCATGTTTTACTTTTTTCCCTTCTCTAACACACCTGATTCAGTCGGTGAATTACCTCTTCCAAGTTCTGCAGAAGCCTGAAAATCATCTATTCATTCAAATCAGGTGTGTCTGAGCAGAGAAACAAGTAAAACATTCAGGGCTGTKGACCTCGAGGRCCAGAACTGACTATCCTTGGTGTAGGGCCTYCTTTTGCAGCCAATACAGCGTCAGTTCGCCTTGGGAATGACATATACAAGTCCTGYACAGTGGTCAGAGGGATTTTAAGCCATTCTTCTTGCAGGATAGTGGCCAGGTCGCTRCGTGATGCTGGTGGAGGAAAAGGTTTCCTGACTCGCTCCTCCAAAACACCCCAAAGTGGCTCAATRAYATTTAGATCTGGTGACTGTGCAGGCCACGGGAGATGTTCAACTTCACTTTCATGTTCATCAAACCAATCTTTCACCAGTCTTGCTGTGTGTATTGGTGCATTGTCATCCTGATACATGGCACCGTCTTAAGGATACAATGTTAGAGCCACTGGATGCACATGGTCCTCCAGAATGGTTCAGTAGTCTTTGGCAGTGACGCGCCCATCTAGCACAAGTAGTCAAGGGAATGCCATGATATGGCAGCCCAAACCATCACTGATCCACCCCCATGCTTCACTCTGGGCATGCAACAGTCTGGGTGGTACACTTCTTTGGGGTGTCTCCACACCGTAACTTTCCCGGATGTGGGCAAAACAGTAAATGTGGACTCACCAGAGAACAATACGTTTCACATTGTCTGCAGCCCAAGAGTTGCACTCCTTGCACCATTGAAATCAACRTTTGGCATTGGCACTAGTGACCAAAGATTTGGCTATAGCAGCCCGGCCGTGTACATTGACCCTGTGGAGCTCCTGATGGACATTTCTGGTGGAAACAGGAGAGTTGAGGTGCACATTTAATTCTGCTGTGGTTTGGGCAACCGTGGTTTTATGTTTTTTGGATACCCTCTGGGTCAGCACTCGAACATCCCTTTCAGACAGCTTCCTCTTGCGTCCACAGTTAATCCTGTTGGATGTGGTTGGTCCTTCTTGGTGGTATGCTGACATTACCCTGGATGCTGTGGCTCTTGATACATCACAAAGACTTGCTGTCTTGGTCACAGATGCACCAGCAAGATGTGCACCAACAATTTGTCMTCTTTTGAACCCTGGTATGTCACCCATAATGTTGTGTGCATTGCAATATTTTGAGCAAAATTGTGCTCTTACCCTGGTAATTGAACCTTCACACTCTGSTCTTACTGGTGCAATGTGCAATTAATGAAGATTGGCCACCAGTCTGGTCCAATTTAGCCATGAAACCTCCCACACTAAAATGACAGGTGTTTCATTTTCATTGTCTAACCCCTGTACATGACCCGCAAGGTAAACTATTTTGACCCAAGTTCAGGGAGAGCGTTGAGCGGGTTTAAAGATTTGATGGGTGCTCTATTGTGGGTTTAATCTTTGCTAACCTGCACAGACTGAAGATATCCAACTGTTTGTTTTGTGTTTTTTGAAGGACCCGGGGGTGGAGCGGGTGATGAGAGATCTGAGAATTTTCAGAATCTTCGAGGGAACCAACGACATCCTGAGGTTGTTTGTGGCTCTGAATGGCTTCCAGGTAACAGGAGAACTCTAGATTATWCTGAAAACACTAGTGTTGGATCGATTGTGGTTATCTGATGATTTGTGTGTAAATGAATAGGGGAAGTGCTTTTTCACAAGACATTGTAGTTTTGAAAGAATCAACTTCCTCAACTTCATGTTGCACAAAATGTCTTTTTAGTTTTTTGAGACTTTATAGAGCAGAAAAACAACTTTTGTCTCCATTAAAAAAGGAAAGGAACAGTTGGTTTGTCAGGATGTACCAACTCAATAATGCACGCAAATCATTCATTAAAGACCCTGTGATGTGAAATTTTTATTTTAAATATGAATCGATTTTTGGGGAAGATGACATTAAAAATTGTGATGCAAAAAAAATTTACGTCGCTGAGATGAACAGTTGTTTGGATATTTGCATGTGAAGTAACAGGAAGTGATGTCAAAGGGGAATATCTGCATGTGAGCAGAGCATTGCTACAATAACTAACAACAGACTGTAGAAAAGAATCTGATGTTTCTTTAGGTTATTTTGAGTAATTATTAGAGGGAGGAAGAGTCAGAGTCCAAATAATATTGTTTCAAGAAATAAAGACCAGGGCGTTTTCTCTCTTAAGTAGTTCCCCTTTAATGTCACTTCCTGTTTCACTTTGCCTGAGTAAAGTTCAAAAGAAAATATGCCGTTAATGTGACAAAATGGTTAAAATTCTGTATTATACCAAGTTTCTTAAATATAAAGATGCTTTCTTTGACTTTTTGTATTTAAAGGATATACACGTCACAGATTCTTTAAAAAAACAGCTGCTGGCACCTTTTCACACGTCCCTCTATAGTAGCTTCTGTTGTTTGTCCCTCCAGAATGCTGGTAACCATCTGAAGAGCTTACAGAAGGCCCTGAAGAACCCGATCGGTAACGCCGGGCTGCTCGCAGGAGAGATAACCAAGAGAGCCAAAAGGTTGCATCACCTTTTCCTGATGACTCTTCTTTATTCTCATCTCTTTCTGTCTGTGTCACACAGAGACAACACCTCCATACTGAACAGAAATATTACCTTCTAATAAAAGTTTGTTTTTAAGTMGTTTACAAATATCTCATATTGGCAAGTTTACATGAATAGGAGATTTGCTTTGTCTACAGACTTAATCTAAAACTAAGATATTTATGTCTATCTGATTTCATGTCACTGTTTGAATTAAATTCAACTCGTCTTCTTGTGTTTGTGCAGAAAGGCAGGTCTGAGCACGGGGCTGACCCTGCAGGGAAGCATCCACCCTGAGCTGACACAGAGCGGCGACCTGGTGCGTTCAGCTGCGCCTCACTCTGTAGATTTTTATCTGTTGTGCATCGAACCCACCGAGGGAGCGTCTTCCTGTTGTGAAACATCCAGAATTAAGATATCATTATAATAATAATGTTTATTCATTCATTTCTTTAAAAACAACAGAAATTCAATATAATTAAAATACAAATCATAAATAAATGAAAGATAATATCAGTTAAAAAATCAGATAAAATCAATCAAAAATAAACTTCAAATTTCAATAAAACAAAACCAATAAATAAATAAAAGATGCTTCAAYGGAAGGCTGCATCGTATCAGAAAAGTTGCAACACGTTTCCCGACTCGACTCTTTCAATTCTGTCGTCTCAACGGTCAAATATCTTTAAGTGTGTTTTAGCGCCACAGCCACTGTCAGCTACGCTCGGTGAGAAATACCAGTGAGTTTGCAACATGTTGCGCAACTCCAGTTTTGTGGCGTTACYGGAATGTTTTATTTTCAGCAAAGAAAAGGGTCAAAATTTCCACTGTGAATTTGATACCTGACTTGCATTATAGAAACCTTGAGTGGTCCTGGTGAAGTCCAGCACCGGTCATTAAATGGTTTGATACGATGGTAGTCATCATCAACATCATTATCAGTGTAACTGACCTACCACTACCATCAGAAATATACTCAGACATACATATTCAGGATTGTTGTGTGAAATTCATGGATTCTGATGACTCAGGTGTATTATATACTGTTAGTGGTCCTCTTTAAGGGACTTTTTCCCCACAGCAGCAAACTGAATGAGTGGGTGTCTGACAGTTGGACCTGTTTTCTTTGTTGCAAACCAAACTTTGATGTTTTTCCAGATTCTTATCGTGGTTTTCTGTTTTTCTGTTTTCCAGACAGTTAAAGCCATCGAGCAGTTTGGGGCGGTCATCGAGGAGCTGTTGATCAAACACGGCAAGAAGATCATCGGTGAGGTCATCGTTAACGTGTGGAAAATGGTTCCTCGGTTGATACATTTCAGTCTGTTGATCGACTAACAACTGATTTATTAATGTTTTTCCAGATGAGCAGTTCGTCTTGAAGCGAGTGGCAGATTGTGCCATCGACCTCTAYGCCATGGTGGTGGTCCTGTCCAGGTAGGCGGACGTGATAATGAGCCACGTCGGCGGGTTTTGGTTGTCCCCGTTGCAGTTTTTGACTCCCACTCAGACTCTTTTCGGTCCTTTTTTTTTTTTTTTTTTTTTGGTTTTCTTGTTTTGTTTTGTTTCTGCACACAAACTCCCACACAGGCTGAACTTGTTTGTTCCACTGTCTGCAGGGCTTCACGCTCTCTGAGTCAGGCTCACCCTTCAGCRCAGCATGAGAAGTTGCTGTGTGACACCTGGTGTGTGGAGGTGAGCACCCCCCAGACATGTTAACATAGATGGTTCCCTCATGTCTTAACTGTAGACAGGTTATCCACCATGACTGTGGCAAACACCACACAACGAGGATCACAATGACTTTCAGACAAAACAAAACAAAATATAGTGATGGTTCTGACCAATGAGAGAAAAATATCTMGGAAATCGCTGCTGTCAGAGTTGACTGAGAACGGGAACATTGCCTCTGATCTCTTATTATAACACAAGAGGAGCTCAAAACTACAATTTATGCAGGYAGAGCGATATATTAAGTTTACAGATGGGAGCAGATTTTTCATGTTTTCAAAGGCTGATCCTTGCAGTTGTTTCCAAGCCAGAGTTGCTCGCTGATGTTCTGCAGTTCCTCTGTTTGAGATCCTTCACATTTCCTGATGTTTTTTTTTATTCTATTTTTTAATTTATTTTTGTGGGGGGGACGTAGTAAAAACTGCGCTCTGCCAAACTGTCGGCATGGTTGGAACATCCTTTAACCCAACATGAAACAACCACTACGATTTACATCCAAAGTACTCCTTGATGGTCTGAAGCAGGAAGTGTGAAGCATTACTGTAGGCATGTGTCTGAAGCACGTCTCTACAGTAATGGTGGTTAGCCACAAAGTGTCCGTCACACGAAAACATTTTAGTTTTATTATGTGAACGTGAGGCTAATATAAATAAACTTCTGTTTAATATTTTAAAAGCCTGGCTGAGGATGTGCTCATATCTAAAGTTTATTAAAAGTAAATGGGTTATGGTATATATA